ATGCAATATGACCATCTAAACAAAGTTTTGCTGTTTTTTGCAAATGTTTTTTACTTTTTGTCGTCATTTTTGGGAAACATTCATCATCATTTTGCAGCCAATTGGTGCTCTGATTTTACCACTGACTAAATATAAAGAATGGTTGCATTTGTCAAGTAATTTTTTGTTTTTTAATATTTTTCTTTATTTGTGTCATTTCTGCCATTCAGGCACTCTTGCATGACGCCGAATGCTATTCCCTTTTCCATCTGTCTGCTCAATTAGCCGTTGAGTAATTTTTACTTTTAACTTTGTTTTGTTTTTGTGCGTCAATAGCAGTGCCTCAACTTAAGCACTCACCACTTTTCTCTCTATTTATTTTTTCACTAGAAATGAACCGTTAAAAAGTGCACTAGAGTTTTGTGCCATAAATTAAATTCCACAAAATTTAATTGCCTAATCTGATGAAGCAGTAAGCTAGATGGATGCACTAGCGAACATTTGGAAAACTATTTTAAACATTTACCATTGCGTCGCCTTCTGTGTGCACTAATTACCATTTCTCATCAACAAAAAAAACTGCTTGACACATCTTCTGAGAAAAGAATCATTCGTTTTCAGTGTTACAGTCACCTTGGTCGACATTTTCACCATGTCGGTGCGCTGCACCTCATCAGGCTGTGATGCCACCAAGTTCCTTGAAGAGCCATTCTCCTTGAGCAGCTTCCACCTTTTCCGACTGGCTGATCAAATGAGAAAACTTGTTGTGATGATAACTCTCCTGCAGCTATGTGGTAAGTTGAGCACTGTCAGAATAGGATCGCCATCAGAATACACCAGAACTCACATGTCTTCTGAAACTCAGAGACCAAGTATTTCAGAATGTCCACCACTACTACCACCACTACGACTAGCTGATTTGCATGACCATTTCTCGTTTCCGCTCGAGCAAACTGCAATGGAAAAATAAGCATTTGTCTGTTGCAGAGCAGATGCCATGCGTTTTATTACCCAACACTGATTTGTGGTTAGTTTTCTTCCGTTGACTGCTGCCGTTGCTGAAATAATCGGCATTGCTCGGCTGAATCACATTTTTTCTCGATCCTTTTTTGTCTGCAGATGCTGTTGTTATTCAGCTGATAGCAACGTCGATACTGCGCCGTAATTGCCTATAATTATGTTATGCAAATGTTGTGGCTGTTGCTTGAATATTCTTGCCTCTGACATTACCCGTCAAGACAGCGCCGACAACATAATACATCCTTGAACAAGTCACTCTGAGACTTGCTCTTAATTAAATTACAATTTACACACTCTGTAGTTCAGAAATTGAGTAAAGTTTTTGTGTGTTTTTCTCTTGTTAAGTGCAATGTTGAGTAGTGCTAATTTTGATCTGAGAGTATTACGACCGTTTGGCTCAATCACCCACTGACACTTTTTATCAAGTAAAGCAATCGATTTTTTCATCAATTTGAATTTGTTTGCCTACAGTAAAAACGCACCGAAAGTTTTCCGTTGGGACTTTGTTAGTGATTACCAGTGTTGTGAGATACAATTCGTTCAGTACACACTTTTCTCAATGAGAAATTCTCACCATTAGCTCTGGTGAAAAAAAAGAAAAGAAAAAGCAAATTAATGAATCGAAATAAAACTAGCATTTTGCTTCGCACTAAGATTTTGTAGCAGTGTCTGCCGCTGACTACTTACTGCGATTCATGCCACGGCCACCATCACCACCACCACCACACCACAAAAAAGCCTTAGGTCAAGTTGAAGTCAAACAATGGACCAGTTTATGAGAGCAGTCCCGGGGAGTTGAAGCACTGATAGTGAGGAAGGGCATTAGCAGAATGTACGACGCAGTGTGTCACCCAGACGGACACTGCATCGGTTTTTGACTCCGGACAGCTGGCAGTGATTATCAAGCCTAACACACACACACATACACACGAATTTATCATTTGGCTAGAAACAGTCGCCAGCAGATGCAAGTGCAAGTGCCACACCGGCACAGTGCTCACGCGGCGAATGGCCATTTATTACTGTCCCACTTTCTACTGTAATACACATCTACTAAGACCGCATTTTTTTTCTTTTTTTGCTGTTGTCAATTAAGTGACCGCTAAGCATTTGTGCTCAATACGACATTAGCACACATTTGACCAGCGGAGTGAGCAGTTTGGCGCTCCACCAATTTGCACCACTGTGGCGCCCCGGACGCGTCAAGTGAGTCGGAAACGGCAAAGTGCAAAAAAAGGAAAAGTAAAGAATCAAAGTTTGTGGCAGCCGCAGCAGTAGCTGACTATACCAGAGAAAGGAAAAACGAGTTTGATGTTGAAAAGCAAGATGCAAAAAAACTGAGCAAACAAAAATTAAGGCTAGCATTTGGTGAAATGCTATACGACAAACGTGGTCAAAATCTACCAAGTACTCACGTCATTTCTAAAAAAACTTTTACAGTGTTAAAGTTTTCAAGCTTTTTAAAATCTTAAGTAAAAGCGGTATTTGCGGTTAACGAAGCAAAGCAATCCAAAAGTCAAGCAGACCGCATTTTGCTGGAAGCAATTTGAGAAAATGCGCCTCAACTGCCTGACCTTACTGAACAATGGCAAATTGATAGAAAAGGCCAAAAAGTTCTTGAAAGCCTAAAAATAGATGCCAGTGAAAGGACGGGGAAGCACTTGGCACTTGGCCCGTGCTTTTCCTGTTAGTCGGCTGTCCGGTGGACAGCTCCACTCGATTAGAGCCGATGAGCACTGACAAGATAAGTTGCGGTTAAGATAAAGCCAAACTGTCAGCAGTGTAGAGTGGCTGCCACAGTAATCTGCCTTTTCTATCTCATCATCACTTTACGAACAAACATTCAGTGTGAAATGCAGTGCAGGCAAGCCAGCAGAGTGCTCGTTGATTAAAGTGCAAATTAAATAGCCACAAAGTTGGCTACTTTCAGCTCATCAGTTTCATTTTTTTTAATGCTTGCTTTTCTCACACTTTTACCCTTGTGTGTTTGCAAACAGTACCGGCCACTGAAACTTGAGACTTGCAAGTATAATTTAATTGAATTAAATAGCCTTGCCCTGTGAAACATTGCTTTTCAGTGCTAAATGAGCATTAAAATTGTTTATTTTTGGTCAACTTTTTGGTTATTGTTAAAATTGACAATCGTTTTGGTGGAAAAATGGCATTTGATCTAAACTCATGATGATGATTCATGATGATGTCGACGTCTTTTGTCTGATGAACAATTTCCCAGAGATCTGAACGCCTGATGAGCATCAAAATTGAGAAGCAAACTTTTATTGATTTTTTCATTTTCATTATCGAATTCATTTCAGTTGAGTCATTTCTTAGCCATAGTTTACAAAAGTCATTTTTCTCATTTATTGCAGTGCAATACTAGTGCAACATAAATTATATTAAGCGTTCGTACGAGTGTAATATATCTTAACACAAAAAAATTCATTTACTGCTTCAAATTAAACACTGAATCGATTTCACAAGGTATTATCTTTAGTTGTATTAAGCTAAAACACTTCTTTAACTTAAAAATTTTTACAAATTTTGTGAAATTTTTGTTAAATTTTTCGAAACAATTGCAGCATTCAAAAAAGTAATTGCTACTAAATTTAGAAAAATCATTTTTTGTAAGGCATCGTTCACGTGCATTCAAGGAGAGCTGCACTAAAAAGATAGCACTCTGCTTTTTAGCAAACACACTCAGAAAATGTCTTAAAAAATACGCAGAAAAAATAGATAAAAAACGGCTGCATAGCTGAAGAAGATAGAAAGAAAGAAGCGAGTAGCTTTCATTGATCATCACGGCAGTGCGTAATCGCATTACCGTTTACTAATCCAACCATTTTCAATAGTAGCAGAATAAAGGAGGGTTTCAAGAGTGCAAACTGCTGTTTCTGTTTTCCAAACCGCGTGGCAAATTGAACAGCCTACACAAAAAAAGTGAGCAAGCATTGTCTTCGCCTTACTTGTGTGGGCAAAGAATAAATGAATGTCAGGTCACTTTAAAACAAGTGGGGAGTGCAAACGTACTAAAAGTGCCTGCTTAATTGAAAGCACATGCACACAGCAGAGAAGGAGACAGTCAATCAGTGCACAATGTCAGCACATTCTTAGGCACTGTGCTCATTCCTGTGCTCAGTCGTGCACCTCGTTCTACGGCGCCCGTATTCTTTCTCCTCTTCAAACTGCATCAGCCTGGAAAAAGAGTTTTTTAATATCTTTGTTTTTGACTAATAAGAGAAAAAGAAAAAATATTGATTCCTCCATTTCTGCTTGCCCTTTATGTTTTCTTTTCTATTATACGTCTTTTCCAAAGTCGCTCTACTGGAAAGTTTTCATTTAGACAGACAGAGAAAAAGAGACAAGCCAATTGAAAGATCTGCTAAATGTAATTATTTATGACTTGCATTATTATGCGCAGAGCAGAAGTGGTTGATGAAGAGTAGGCAAAGAAAGTAGCAGAAAGTAGGGATGATAATGACGACGTCGGTGAGCACACTCCAAGCTGTCAGCGCAGTATTTGCAAGTGGCAATTTATTTATTAATTCGCCATAGCAAAGTGCATGCCATGATGTGCATGTGATGCTGTTCCATTTTCTGGCTGTGCGCTTCTTTTGACTGAAGATTTTGTCTTTCCTACTTTTTGAATTCTGTCAGTTTCAAAAAGCTGCAGATTGCTGCCGCTCGTGTGTGTGTTTGCACGTTTTCATGATAAATGAAAAAATCAAAAACGGTAGACAGCAGATTTTTTCTCACTTTCAAAAATGTAAGGCTTAACTTGAAAGCTCCGTTTCCGTTTCTGATCATGATCATTTCAAAGGGCAGCAAACCATTAAAGGAACCTGGAGAATGCAGGAGTAATGACATGATGGCGAGCCTAATGACTTTCAAATTGATGCGTTGATTTAATTAGCAAACTATATCTGTAGTGCAACTGTAATTTGTTTTGATGACAGTATGGTTTACATAAATTTTGTATCTTTTAAACTTCTCAACCTCAGCAGTCTTTCAACCACAAAGTGCAGCCATTCACGGCGTGATCGTCAGTCCGAATCGGCAAGGAGCGTCCAATGCTGGCAAGTCGAACAAAGCCGACAATGCAGACCTCTCTACAGCGTCACACAACTCAATGGCCAGTCCGAACCCGTACACCCACAGTCAGCAGCACCCGAAGTACTGGGACCCGAACTGGGTGGACTACTCGGGCGAGCAGACCAACGACGAGCGGCGGCTTTTCAACTACCTAATGCGCAACTACGACACCAACATTCGCCCTATTATGAACTCTTCTCAAGCGATCAATATTCGCCTCGGGGTGACGCTCGCTCAAATATTCGATTTGGTATGCAGACAGACAGACAGACATGTAGCGAATTTCTAATTAAAAGAATGCCGCCTTGAAAACAGGACGAGAAGAATCAGGTGCTCACCACAAACATCTGGCTTGACCAGGAGTGGATCGATGAGTTCCTCACCTGGAACGCCACTGACTACGGAAATATTACCCGCATTCGAGTGCCGTGTACAGGTAGGATCGGTTGGGCAAGTTTTTTTACCATGTGTCTAATCATTTATCTCCCATTTCACATTTCTGCAGCCATCTGGTTACCCGATCTGGTGCTTTACAATAAGTATAATATACCTACTAGACTAGACTGCTGGCATGGCATTTCTCCTGCAAGGCGCAATAATAAGTACCTCTCCCTCTCTCTCTCTCTCTCTCTCTTTGTTTGTTCCCATCCATCCTCTCAACATGGCTGCCAACAGTGCCGACGACTACACTCGGGGCTACATGTGCAGCAGGGCGATCGTCTCGCCCTCAGGCAATGTTTTCTGGCCACCGCCGACTAAGCTGCGCAGCACCTGTGAGGTGGACGTCACCTACTTTCCCTTCGACGATCAGACCTGTAAGATGAAGCTGGGCTCGTGGATCTACGACGGTCACCAGGTGATTAGTGAGCAGAAAGGGTGTAAAAATAATAACAAAAAGATTTCCACCTCAGGTAAACATCCTCAACCGAACGGAGAACGTCGATCTGAACAACTACGTTCCCAATGGCGAGTGGGACCTGATCGCCACCAAGCTGGTGCGCAACGTCGTCTTCTACCCCTGCTGTCTGGAGCCCTTTCCCGATGTGACCATCACCCTGGTGATTCGCCGGAAGATACTGTACTACCTGTACAACGTCATTCTGCCCTGCATCATGATGTCCGCCCTTACGCTGCTCGTCTTCTGCCTGCCGCCAGAGTCGGGCGAGAAGATCGCCCTCGGCGTCACCGTCCTCCTCGCTTTCTCCGTCTTCATGTTGGCCATCTCGGAGAAGCTGCCGGAAACCTCAGAGTCAATTCCTCTGCTTGGTAAGGAAAGCGATATTTTTCTACTTTTCTTGCTTGGTTTTAATTTCTAGTTTTGCTGCTGCTAACCAGAAATGTACCAATGTTGGCCATCCAAGAATATGGTCAGCTAGTCAACAACAGCCAGAGAGTGAACAAATGCTTGGCTAANCTTTTCTTGCTTGGTTTTAATTTTTAATTTTGCTGCTGCTAACCAGAAATGTACCAATGTTGGCCATCCAAGAGTATGGTCAGCTAGTCAACAACAGCCAGAGAGTGAACAAATGCTTGGCTAATTTTGAGCAAGGGGGCATCTCTTTCCCTCCGAAGGGAAATCAAACTAATTATTTGCTCTAAACTGTGCAGTAGGGCAAAGTGTAAGAGTGTGTATTTCAGCAGTGGGCGACGCACTTTGTTTATCTTGCACCGCCTGTTTGATTTGCACTGCTGAGCCAGAAGAAGAGAGGAAAGTAGGCGAAGGGCAAAGAGTGTTTTTGCAAGCAACCAGCCAGCAATGTGCTCTTTGCTAATTTGGCTCTTCAACACATCACCAGTTTTGGATTGAGAAGTGTGTAGTTAGTGCAAGTTAGAGCTGGAGCTTACTGCTATTGACTTTTGATTACCGAAAACAAACAAACAAAGTGACAGAGAGAAGGGTTATTACTTTTGACAAGAAAAACAGAAAAAATCGTAGTTATCGGCTCTTCAGCATTTGGCTGATTGAACTTTGCCTAGAGTTTGTAGAATTTTTCATTTTGCCTAGAAAATGTAAATATCACTGCTTTCTAGCTAATCCTTCTCATAGATTGAAATTGACAAATATTTATTTGATGTTGCTTAGATGAAACTGGCGACCGTGGCTCTATTTCTCAAAGTGAAACAAATTGACAAATTGGCTAGTTACATCTGGCAATCGATTTCCCGTATATAGCGCATTGAGTGTCACCGAATAATTGGCACTGCAATTACTTGTGAAAATTAGCTGAACAGCTTGTGAAACAGCTTGCTTTTTGGAATTTGCCAGCAGCAAATCATTAGTGAATGACCAGTTTAATTTCGCCCGAGNCAAATTGACAAATTGGCTAGTTACATCTGGCAATCGATTTCCCGTATATAGCGCATTGAGTGTCACCGAATAATTGGCACTGCAATTACTTGTGAAAATTAGCTGAACAGCTTGTGAAACAGCTTGCTTTTTGGAATTTGCCAGCAGCAAATCATTAGTGAATGACCAGTTTAATTTCGCCCGAGTGGGGCAAAACTTTATACCTGGATTAGCATAGTTCAGGTTGGATTGCTTTCAATTTTAAATTTTGAAATGTTTTAACAAAATCTCGTAAACAAAAATTTTTTAAAAAATCACTGAAACTTTTTACATAATTTTTTGCACTTATTTTTCTCACGATGTTGAGCAGCACAAAACAAACTAAACGCACAATTTTCTTTTTTTCTGCCAGGTGCCTACCTCACCGTTGTGATGGGAATAACTTCAGTGAGCATAGTAAGTGCTAATTAAATACCAGACAAAAAAGCCCGTTCTAACAATGCTGATTTTTTCTGTGGTGCCACTTTCTCACACCCGCCACAGGTGATGACAGTGGTCGTGCTGAACTTCCACTACATTAGCCCACTGAATCGGCGACCATTGCCATCGTGGATCAGAAGACTGGCCATCAAAGAGTCCGCTCTGTGCAGCGGTCTCACTGAGCCCTTTGATGAGTTCTGCTCGCGGTACTACGACAAGGCCAGACTCAGCGGCGCCGCTAATTGCTGCCCACCATCGACTCATTCATTTGAGGAGAACACTGCTGTGAATGGACATAAATTAGAGCACAACCACATGTCAGGTAGACAATGCATAAACAGAAGCACCACAGCAGCACTGGACCCGAAGAAGCACACCAGGAGGGCCAACAGTACAACTGAAGCAGCAGCAGCAGCAGCCACTAACGAGACGGGCAATTGGTTTGGTTCGGCATTCCAGTCGCTTCCTTTGAGCAAACGTCACCAGGCACAGCACAACCAACAGTTCGATCATCAACCACCATCATCATCGGTGATGTTCAACAATAATGGCAGCAGCAGCAGCAACAACAACAACAACAGCAACAACAACAACAGCAAACGGTTCTCCAAGAAGTCAAAGTGGATGGGCCAAGTGGACCGTTTGGCTGCCTCTCTTTTCTCGGGCAGTAGTAGTGGCGTTGGCGGCAGCAGCTCAGCAAACACCAACAAGGTGCACTCGAGTGAACTGGTGCACCAGCAGCAGCGTGCCTCGGCGGCGGCGGAGTGCAGCGAAGCACTGCAGCGGAAGGCAAGTGTTGCGGCAAGTGCCAATTGGGCGCAGTCAGTGGGCAGTGCTGCAGCAGTCTTTGCTGGTGGTGGTGGGGGTGTTCTGGCTGGCGGACAGACGCTGCTGGAGAAGACACTGGGCGCAACGGAAGCAGGCTACTACCACTGTCCGGCAAGTGCAGGCAGGCAGAGGAACACTGCTGCTGCTGCTGCTGCTGCTCCAGTCAACTCAAGTGCAGTTCAGGTATGTCTGTTCTTGCTGCGTCTCTTTAATTACTTGGTCGCCTGCTCCTCAAATGAATGCACTGCACTGCAATCAAATTGTCGATGCTGCTGCACAAAGGCTGTGTGGCACTAAGTCGTTCGGCCTACCGTTTTCAGACATAATTAATTTTCTTGCCGTTCAGTACAATAATGCCCATTCATGTCAGGAGAGCTGAGTGTAGAAGGTGAATGAAAGAAAGAACGGTTACCAATGCTGGAGTTATCTTCCTTATCTCCCTACAAATATCATGAATATTCCTATTCGTTTTTTATCCTGATTATTTGCATTTTCTCCAAATTAACGCCATTATTTAGCGAAAGAAAAGAAAGAGAGGTTCACTAGCAGAAGATGTCAGTGAATTAGGCGATGCAATTGATAAAAATAGCAAGAGAAAATTTTGGACAGAGGCAACAAGAGAGACTATTAGGTCAACTGCAACGGTCTAATCGATTGATCTAGTGGGCAGTAGTAGTAAGCAGTTCGGCCACTATGGCGTACACGCTCGATTAGTGCTTCCGTCAATTGGAAAAGGGCAGAGAAAGTGCAGGAGCTCTGGTGATTGGCAGAGA